AAGAACCTATGTTGATCATTAGGTTACGATATTTTAATGAGCTCCCATAATTAACTCAAAAGAATCCTTAAGTTACCACTTTCCAAAGTCTCAAGTTCGTATTTTTAATTAGCACTAGTAATAATAACCTATGAGGATGTTTTGCAACATTTTTCACTTGAGACTACAAGGAATTTCATAACCGTGAACTATCAGAAAGCTGGAAAAAAGACAACTTTAAATGGATCCTTGATATTTATCTTCCAATCATATGACATAATCACAAGATCATTTTACCTCTTGTTCCAATATAAAAAATAAATGTTATTTCTACTGACAATTTAAAAAGAAATGAATAAATATTTCTGTAATTAAAAGCCACCTGAGAAAGCATACTCTGTTCATTATCAAATTTGTATTGCTGAAATCTGTCTCAACGTTATACCCATTATGTTTTCTTTAGTCAACCAATGAGCATAAAATGACAGGAAATACAGTACTGCCAATTAGAACTACAGGGTCCCAAACTACAGTAAACTTGACAACATCATCCAATGCATTTTTAATACAGTTACACTTTCTGGCATTGGTCATTGTGCACATTCTTCGGTGAAGTCAAATTGTATTGCTTCCATTTCTTTGAAGTGCATGGTATAGATATGCCACTGGTGGATATGGCTATGGCTGAAAATAAATGTAGTATATGTGCCAAAAAATCACTTCATCTACACAATTAATTAAAGCATAGCTTATGAAATTCTGAAAAACTAAGCAAATCATATAAAAATAATATTTGGACTGGAATAGTTTGACTGTACTCTCAGCTGACCTACTGCACTCCTCCAGCTTGCTCTGCAGGTTAGAATCCAGAACAGAAATTATTTGGATTATCCACCAAAACTGTTAAGGTAGACAGATTAAAGAGGACCCCAAAAGATACATATTGTTCCCAAACACTGCAGTAAACTGATGGGCTAGGCCTTGTGGCTCCTCCCTCAGTTTTGAGCTGCTGTGCTTGGACAAAGCACTCATACTGTTGATCGGAAAAGTTGGTATCCGTTCTTTGTGCAAGCGAAACTACAGACCCTGTAATTACAGACCCACAGCTGGTGGAGCTGCCCTGTTACACATTCAGTCAGGACTAATTGGGACTTCCCAAGAACAGAGAGGTAGTCAAGGACAGATTCTTCCTTCAATTCCTGGTCTACTTTATCCAAAATAGTCAAGACTATTTTACATTAGATCAATAACCAAAATAGCCTCCAGACAACAGGAGAAGCAACCATAAAGCTTTCTAAAAGTGTTTTGCTGCAAAGTAGGTAATGATGAAAATTTGATGAAAATCTGTGTTCCTTGTAATGTTTCCAAAACTGAGATCTTTGAAAAGTCACCATCTACAAACACACAGACATCTCCAGGAATGTTCATTAAAACAAGAAGCTGGCACATTTGGTTTGTCAACTAACTAGCAGTAACTAAAACTCAACAACTGTGCTGGAAGCATAACTATTACACTAAACAAAGTGGTGCCATACATATAATCCCAGGAAACGTCAAGCAAGTCATCAGAAATGAAAGTGCATTGTCAGGATTTCACCTGTCTTCAGGTTTTTGATGAGGCTATGTTTTTTCAAGTGAAGCAGTAAACGCATATTTACACTCATGTATTCTGTGGCTTCTTTTACACCCTACTGAAGAGAATGTCACACACAATACGTAATTATTTATTTAAATAATAGTTTTAATGAATCTATTATAAAATGACCACATGCACTAATTTTAACTGAAACAGCATCTAGACAGAAAGCATTAGGATTAAAAAATGCATGTTGATACTACAAATTACATCAGAGTGATTGTTCATAACTTACTTTCCTTTCAAAATACTCAAATAAAAAAGTGTAAGTGCTATGCTTATTGAATTTATATACCTATACTCATTATATATGTATATATGTGTGTGTATATACACATGTGTTGTATGTATATGTATTTACACATACACATATATACACACACATACGTACAGTAACACAATTACATTCTTATGGTTCATGCCTTCACACATTGCTTGTATTTTTAAATAGTAAGTTATTGTTTATCAGAACATTTCCTCATGCTGTTGAAGGATGTAATACAAAGGGGTTTGTCCCTGACCCACTTCTGTGTGCTATTGTGATACAAATGTGAAATAATGTTCCTCTGTGGGAATTTTTATAAAATCAGTGAGTAAAGCATGATGACTCTTCTAAAATTTAATAAAAAAAAAAAAAAATGTCACTCAAGTTTTGAAAATATGTTTTCCTACAATGAATATTCTGAATTGGATATGTGAATTGTCCCATGGGATTAAATTTTTGCACAAGTTTTCAAAACTGGATACCGACATTCTGCATATGCGCTCATCACAACTTTTGTAACAGTAAAACAATTGAATATATTTCTTGAATAGTTGAAAATATTTCTTTATAGATTCTGCCAGATACAATACTGTTACTATGATGCAGGCAGCTTAGATGAGGAGGCAAAGTATGACATAAAATAACTTTAATCTCAGAAACACACAATCATCAGATATTAAACTCATTCTTTTATCCTGTTTTCATCTTTTTGCTCCCTTTTTCTTTTTATACCTTATTTTTTCACCTGTTTTTGTCTTATTTGTATTTCTAACAACAGACCAAAGACATAATGAAGACAAAAGACATTCATCGTACATTTTAACTAGATTACCTTTTAAATATTCACTACTATGATGTATTCCAGTTTGAAAATCTAAAACTGTTCTAATTGTTTCACTTCCGAGGGCATCCCCTTTCAAAAGTAGTGATTCTGTTATTTAACAGATAACACATGTGTACTTGCTATTGATGCTATGGTTTGTCCCCTCCATTTCCCAATTTAAAGAAATAAATCAGGAATATTTAGAATGTGCACTTTTTTTTCTTTTTTTTTTTTTTTTTAAGATTTAGTGGTTTATCAAGGAGATTTATTGGAGTTTAAATTGTTTTCTACCAGAGCACTGACTACCAGTCTGTGATGGTAAAAGGCCTTGAATGTAGGAAGTTTATTTCTACCACGCAATGGACTGATCTATGTTCTCTCTTGTCTTCAAATTGTGTCCACAAGATTTATGGATACAGAATAAAAACTTTTCACCTTGTTACAGAAAGAATTCCCATCGTAGAACAGATCCAGAGAAATCTATTCCAGGCAAAAGAGGAAGAATGGTCAAAAGGTGAGAGATGGGAAATGGGACAAGCTTTTCTCTGAGTGTGAGAAAAAATGACTGATAACACAGCTCTGTGAAATTATCACACAGGTGCTTTGCAGAGAACGTGCAAAGTGTTATCATATCCTAATTTTAGAAACTCTTAGTTCTGTCTGACGGTATCTCACATACACATAAATACATGTTCTGTGCTGCACTCGGGGTTCTAATTCACAACCTAATGATTTCTGCCTATACCATCTGAAGTAGCAGTGATTCAGGTGGAAGGACAGTTTTATATTCTGGCCAAGCAGAAGACTACTGCTTGTCTTCTGGAAGGCTCAGCAGGTTGCATAAAGCACCCACTGAAAGATTGCTGAAAATAAAATCGCAGTTGACTAGCTGGCCAAAGGTGTATTATGGTCCTTGAAGTGGAAGATAGACAGAAGTGCCACCACAGTGCTTGCTTTTTTATACCTTATCTGCTATGATGCCTTCTCTCCATGCATTCAAAAAGTAATTTCAGTAATATTTAGAATACATACATTAGCTTTCCAATACAAAGGGAAATGTCTCCATGCAGGAACAGATAAGCTGGTGGCATGAAAGCTAGTCTAAACCTACACTGACTTTAGGGTACTGAGCCTGGGATCAAGCTTATCTCTTTGACATAGTTTTGAACATTCACACTACTGTTTGCAAGCTTTAGGCATACAGTATTTTGCAGGCAGTCTGCATGTCCTGTTTCTTCAGCATATGATACATCCTGGCACATAAGCATATGCCATAGGAACAGACATGAGACACTGGGAATGGTAAATCAGGCAATACTAAATCCTCTTCAGAATTCGCCAAGAATTGTCTCCCACCAAATTTGAGCATGGGCTCATAAATGTGAGCCAAACATGGCCTTTCATATAGCTAGACTAAATGATGGAAATGCAGTTCAGACATACTCAGATGGTTTGCACACCTATCTCAGAAAGGTTTTAATTTCTGTATTTAGTGAATGTTAATATAGTATTATTATTTTTAATTTTACTTTTTGGGATTGGAAACAAATTAGATGGCTTTGAAAGATAAAAAGTCAGAGGTGACAACTTTCTGAGCACACTATTGAGTTCCAAAAGGAATCAAAACCATAAAAACTACGCCTCTGAAGATGCTCAGCTTCTTGCACCAAAAGTATTTTAAATAGATTTGGCCTTATTCTAATTTTACTGAAACCAAGGAGAGTTCTAACATGAATTACAACAGTAAAATAGCTACACCAGCATTTAAATGTGTTTGCAAGGCCAATTCTATATCTATATGCTGAAGATTCTTTTTCTTGTCTTCTGTCAAATAGTGGGGTTTTAAGGATCTTTTACAAAAGTAGCTTCCTAAAAACATGTTAGCTATTGTTAGGAATTAATGGCTAGCTTGAGAAAAGATGACAAGGAGATGAAGAATTTGAAGTGATATTTTGGTTTTAAAATTTTATTCTAGTCATTTGTATTTTATACCCTTGCAACAAGCTTTTATTTTTTTATTATGATTATTTCTATGATGAAGATTTAACAAGAAAATAAAATAGGCACCAGTTCATTATTAATTAATCTCTAGGAGCGTCCCCCGCCCTCCCCAATGAATTGAAATTGAAATGTTATACTGCTGTAACATGAGATACCCAGGAACAGATAAGGACTTTAAACTCCTGCCTTCTTCTGCTTGTGCATATTGTTTTACATTTCAAGTAGGCTTGCTTAAAAGACATTATAAGGCATATATGCTTACATGCATAGAGATAAAGTTAAATACTTGTTCATACCTTCAAAGTAACCAGCATTTATAGGCTGTGTCTTCCTTGGTGGTTTCACATGGAGATATTTATTTTCATTGTTTTTGAACAACGCCAGGCGCACAGCTGGGTCTAGATGACAAGAACAAGTTAAAATCAAAGGTCAGACCCAGCTCATTCATTCCTTAAAGCCATTTTTCACCTTTTAGCCACTTAATAAATGAAAATACCTTTAAAAGTAGGTTTTATATTCACAAAGGATTACTCTTTCTAAAATAAAGCAACATAAATACATGTGCAGCTGAGAATCAAAGCCACCATTTTGCACAATTTTAACACTTGATCTTGTAGCTGGCTCATCTCCAAACTAAAAATCAATTCTAAAGCATATATTTGCAGATAACACTAAAAAATCTGATTTAAAAGCTTGAAATTAAAGCAGAAATATTAAGGGAATATATGCAAGCACTGTTTCTAAAAGCTTTGGTTTAGAATTATTCGGCAGTCTAAATATAGTCACTCACACCTAAAAAATGTTAACAGAAGGCAGTTTATTTTTTGAGGCTAAACTTGCAAATAATAAACTAACCTTCCTCCATGTCCCATCTTTATTGAAATAAAAGAATTCTCCAAAAGTCTATAGACACATGTATATCTCACAATATAAAATCTTGAATAGTTTATCAAAATCTTGATTATTTTGACAACTTTGCAAAGAGGCAAAGATGAGTGCAGATTTCTATCTAAATTTAGATAAAACATGTTCCTAGATTGAAAAAAAACCCCAAAGTTTAATTAACAAATGCTAAGCTAATGCAAACCCACACAAGTCAGGAAAGATGATTTTCATGCATTATTTCTAATATGAAGGAAGAATTCTTTCCTTAACATAGGCAGCAAGTAGGAGTTTATGTTAAACAGTGGGTTAGAAAGAATGTGAAAATTCTATGCACAGTGCAGAATAAACCAGCCGGTTATTTTAAAAAAAAAAAAAGGATTGAGAAGAATGTAGAAACAAAAGCAGATACAAAATGACAAGCAAAAGTGTATACGGTTTTCTAAGTATGACACTGAGATTCATAATATGAGTAACAGAAAGCCAAAGGAAAAATCAAAGAAATATGTTTCACATGGCTAAAAAAACCCAATAGCACAGGCAGACTAACACACTTTCAGGAATACCCCAGAAACAATGAGGCAGAATTGGTTTGTCTACAAAGATGACTGTAAACTGTTAGAAAAAGGTAGACAGTAATAAGAAAAAAAAGGAAAAACAGTAATAGAACTTAGCAAGAAAGAAGATATGGCAAGGAAAGGATCTAAATTTTCACAAAGAATGCAAGGGCAGCAAAAATGAATATGTGAGACACTGCCAGAACAGATAAAGCAGGAAAACAGAGGAGATGAAAAGACTTGAGCATTCAGACAGAATAAGTTTACATGCCTGTTTATGTCTGATGATTCCTTTTGAGCTTGTTACATGATCATGGTGTTTACTGAGAGAGCTGATAACAGCATCTATAATACTGCAACAAAGTAAGTAACTTTTTATTTGTTTTTTTCCTTATTTATGGAAATAAAGGTTCAGAATGCCCTGTTAAGTCAGTGGGCAATTTCTTACGAAGTTTAACAGCAATTTATAAAGTGGGTTTTGACTAGACCTCTATATTTGAAGTAGATGCTTCAGTTACAGACTAATGGAACATAGAGGGTTCTTAAGAGCTACACTTTTTCTCAGAGAATGCTCTCTTGACACAAGTAAGATGACACAGACATACTGTATCTCTGCCTTATAAGCCTGGAGAAGATCTCTAATGGGGTGTGGATACTTTAAGAGATAACACATTGACAAAACATGTCAAAATGTTATGGTATTCTTGGTCAGCCCACACTGCAGCAGCATTTGGTTGACAGAATGTTCTTAACGTTGCTAACCCCTCACAAAGCAGCAAACTTGACTAAAGGAGGAATCATGGAAAATATAAATGGAAGTAATTTAGGCCATGCCTTCTTACCAAGGCTAAATCAGTGATACCTTACACTTTGTTATCTCAGATTGTCTAGAAGAACCCCTCTCATCTTGTTGCATGATGACTACAGGTTCCAGAGTAACCCAGAGTATGACATATTTAAAGTCATTTTAACCCACTTTTACTAACTGAAATGTAATTCAATTAAATGACCCAAGAAGCGCAATAAATAATGATTAGCTCCATTAGTTTTAAAGGTAGATTATTAGCATGATTCTGGCAATGGGATCACTTTATTCACAAACTGGATTACCAGGTATGTAGGCAGTTCCACTTTGCATAGATGGATAAAGCAGGCCTATTTTGGCATGCTCAAAAAAAAAATTTCTAACCACCTAGTGTTGTTTAGTGTAGCAAACGTTTGGGACAGTAGATCACAGTAAGATTTGTGTTTAAAATATCTTGAAATAGTAATACATTAAATTTCAAAAGTTCTTTCTAAAATTTTAAGTAATAGAAGTTCTAAAAAATATTTTAGGTAAAATATGAAATATTATTGTGTTTTCTACAGGTGTAAGATACATCGATATATTAGTACTATACCTGGTTAAAAATGTACAGAACAACATTTTTTATAATTACCATTTTCCAATATCCAGCATACAGTGTTGATAAGATACAGTATTGATAAAAGTCTTCTAACTTTTTCTAGGTCTACGCTACTTACAAAAACAGTGTCTTTTTTTCAATAGAAGACCAAAGACAAAGTGATGAAATTGATTAAAATCTCTTAAGACAAAATGTGACTGAGGACTTCAAAATACCTTTAATTAACTTAAAATAATTCCTGAAATAACACACTTTTAGTATCTGGGTCTATTGAAAGTGTTCTAAAATGTTTTAAAAATGTAATCTTTCCTTATTCCAGCCTTCACCTAAATATTACAAAAAATCCAATCAGTGCAAGGTTAAACTATACCAAGGACTTTTGTGTGAAGTCACATTAAGTTACTAGTGGCCGTCTAAATTTTTCAAACAATTATTTGTGCAAAAGGATACCAGCAGTAAAGAAGGTCCATGAACTGGGAAAAGAGTGAAATGATGGAAATTGCTCTTCTAAGAGATTTCTATCAGAAGATTTATCTTTGAGTCTTTGCAAAATAACTTAAATAATCTACAGGGATTTAACACAGTGCCAGACTACTTGAATTTATACCTACCTGGATCACCTCAACCATTGCCTACAGCTCTTTTGTTATTAAAAATGAGTCCTTTTCTTTATCTAGTCCCAAATGTAGGCAATATTACACAGATTACTTTATAATACTAGTGCTTTTCAGTCTCTGAGTGAGCTAGGGAAATGAACTGCATGTATGCTTTGATGACAAGCAATCAAATGTTTTAGATTTCACACAGAGAACTGTGAAAGAGTCCAATAGTTCAAAATCACACAAAATATCTTCCTGGATTCTGGCATGTTCATTTAAATGTGGTTTATTAGACAATGATCTGTGCTAGCAATCTAGAAACCATGGAAGTAATTTAATGCATATTGCTTGGCTGACTCCAAATATAAAGATAAGTTGGACTAACACAAGAAATATTATAGAAACAATATGGAAAGAACAGTTATTGCCTGATCTGGCACCACATTTGTTAAACAACTTCTTGATAATACTTGAAACTGAAATAAATAAATGTTTGCCATTAATTTTTGTGCAGTATCTGTAATTAGAAAAACATAAACATATCTGTGCCAACTTTAAAGACTTGATAAATCAAAGTAGCACACGGTGACAGATGCTTATCTATAAGGTAATTGAATTTGTAAATTCATTTGGAAGAAAGACCACATTTTGTTCCATAATTGAGGAGCAATTAGAACTCCATGGCTGGTACATGGAGTACACAACAACAAAAGTAGCTTTCTTTGTGCTAGTAAGAAAACATAGATCAATGGTCGTTTATGTAATGTGTAACAAGGAATAATAATATCCCCCAGATTTTAATTCAAACTGTTGTTAATTTAACAAATCAATATAGTACAGTCAGATCATCTGTTCTGGGGTTGTGGGTTTTGAGGAGAGTGGGTTGGGGTGGGTTTTGTTTTGTTTGTTTTTTATAAGTTAATATTGCATTCCTATCTTAAATTCTAAACTAGAATGAAAAATATATTTGCTGATGTACGTCTATGAAATAGCTTTATTATTGTGCTCTGGGTCAAGGAGTCAAGACCCACTCCAGCTGCTTTTTACCTTTTTTGGTTTTTTTCCTACTTATGTGGTAACAAGAATTACCATCTCATGCTGTCAGTCATTGACAAGAGAGCTTTCCTTTGCAGAAGAAATGTTTAAACAGGAAGTAATACAGCCATATAGGAGAGACAAGCTGAAAGCAAGACAAGGCTTCCAGCCATCTTAAAAGAAGAAAGAGTTAACTTTCAGCAGCTAATTTATGATCTACAGAAACAAGGAAATTCAAAGTTAAGCAAGAAATTCTGTACTGCTGTGCAAAGACATCCTTAGGAAGCTAGCATTATTATGAGTCACAGACGCTTAATTTTTAAGCACAGTGAGATGCATTAATGTCTGCTATATTTAGATTTTTAATTAGAATTTCTATAGAATTTTACCCATGATAAACAGGAATATTTCTGTCATTGTGACAGTTTTACTTGGCTGTAAAATTTCTGGTTTCTTGCCCACACTTTTTGTATTAACTTACTGTAGAGTAAAAATAGTTGAAGCAGACACAGCTTACATTTGGTATCATTAAAATACAGGCCACAACTTTATTTAACTACATAAACAAGCATACATAACTGTAGTGGATTAGGGCATAACAGGCCTTAAGGCCATTAGTTGGTGAGACTGGTCTACTGCAATATAAGCATTGCCTGAACCATTCCCTATTATAGGGTTATGTTACTTTAAGCTCTTCCTTGTAACACAAACCACAGGCTTCAGTGCACTTGCTAGTATTTTCCATATTTTTTTCACCACTGAGAAGGTACATAGCCAGACATATGAAGTAAGGAACTTCTCAGTTACTTCTACAAATCTACAATTTACCTCTGTACTTCAGCCAGTCACTCTAGGTTTTGTCTAGGCAATTGGAGAACTCTAAGTGCTTTTACAGTGAGATTCAAGTAGCCTGTTTTTTAATTGTGTTTTAGGAGGAAATTAATAGCATTTAAAATGGCTATTTCCTTGCATAAAAGAATGCAGATGACTAACTCAGACGTGGACTTCTATAATTAACCAAACTAATCCCGTCGCTGTTCCACTGGAAGACAAACGCTTTAGATGGAGAATGAAAAGAAGTAAATTCCCACACCTGAGGATGTTAAGAAGTAAAGCTGTTCACGAGTGTCTAATCCAAGTTCCGACCCAGTAGACGTCTTCAACTATCTTAAAGAGCAATTGTAAAACTCTCTGAATGGAAGCTGATGTAACACTGCATTTGTGAATCTCAGGCCTAAGGGAAAGGCTTTTGATAGCATATGGAAGCAAACAGCATATTCTGACGGGCTATTTGTTTCTACAAAACCCATCAGTACCTTAGCATTACCTGCAATTAATACGATCATTGCCACTCAAGGATCAATAGTACATAAAACATGTTTTGGATGCTGCTGAACTCTTAGCACAAAACTTATCAGTTTATTTGTTAATACCTTATAATTTGTTTGTATTTAGAACCTTTAGATGTTGTTATTGCTTTACGTATTCTTAGAATGTAAAGTTTTGCTTTAAAGTCAGAAGTGTAGTAGTAAATGGATATAACATGGAAAATTGCTTTTTTGCTCCTTATAATTCACCCTTTTAAGTGGATGCTGGCTCCTTATTTTCTACTGAGTAGGAACCTTTACCACTAAAAAAATCATTTTACTGTAGTTAGCATACCATCAACTATTTTAAATCAGAAAGCTAAAAAGGAAAGTTGCAATTATAACACAGACGACTTGGAAATTCAAAACAACAAAACCAATACTGCTATCAATAAATCCCTCAACATTTCATACGCAGCTTCAGTAAGCACAAGATGGATGAAGCTCATTTCAGAGGAGATGAAGGTGACAGGATGAAAATTTCTATGGAAATGTTAAAAGTCAATGTTGACAACTACTTATTGAAATTAATTTCAATCTGCTCTTAAATATTAAAAGGAATAAAGTCTCTTAAGGAATCCCATCTTCAGCAGGGTTAAACTCACAGCGCTGGCCTAAGATTGTGAACGCTCCCTCTCTAGGTATACTGGGACTGCAGTAAGTATTCTAGCCATGAGCTGTACCACACAGAGATCCAAGAAAGATACTGGCAGCCTAATGGATCTGGTTACAGCATCTTGATCTGGAGCTGGCTAGCCTCAGGATAAGGTGTATCTACACTAATTTAAATGCTGTAACATCCCTCTGTTCAACCAGACCCTCAACAAGACCCTGACTTGCTCTCACCACTTCAGAGGAGATAATTGATGTAAAATGTAATTACATACTTGGAGATTCGTCACATATGGGGACTATTCCATCAGGATAATTTTTTTAGTGCAATAGCTGAGTTTTAGCACCAGTTTAAGGTTAAAGTACTTGTTTTAATAGATACTATCTATTGGGTCCTTACTGACCAAGGAAGGACTGACTGCTGTATGAGAAAGAATAGTTGGCTTGATAATCTTTGCAATGAAAAGTGATTGGGTGTCATATTTTCAGTCATATTTCATGGTTCTGGAAACTACACTTTCTGCTGAAAAAAAAGACTGAGATTTTAATGACTGTCAGATAATTCTATACAGAAAACTTATATATACAGGTTATATTTGTGCTTGACGTAAAAGAAAGAAAAAAATTCCTATATGCAGTAGTGTCAAGAAGAGAAAAATTGAACCTTTAAAACCATTCTGTAAAAGTTTTGCTTTTTTTTTAAAACTAGTAATGTGACAATATTCCAAGTGATACATTAGAAATATCAACACACATATATCCTACTGAATAATTTGAAAAAACTGAATACAAATGTATCTAAAAAATCCATAAGAACTACAATCAAAACAGGATAGCAAATCTGATATGCTCAGACATTTATGACCAGATTAATTAGTGCTAACATAAACCATAGAGCATATGGAGAAAAGATGATATAACCAAATAAGCTCTATTCATTAAAAAATGATATAGAGGCCACCAAATGGAACATATGTAAAAACCTCAGCTGCACACCAGATATTTACTGCCTTTTTTTTTTTTTTTTTTTTTTTTTAGGTAACATGGTTATGGTATCATGGGAAGCTATCAGGATTTAAATATAAGTTCTTTAACCTCACATGCATTTTTTTCTCCTTTCCATAACAATAAAGCATGCTTTGATGATTATATCACTCCTTCTCCTCCCACCCCCCAACCACCACCTTTGATTTTTTAAACTAGAGATCTTTTTTGTCATATTTAGTCTCAGACATGATACTCAAAATAGAAAAGCTGTAGAGAGGAACACTTCTCTTAACTCTATCTGCAGGCTGAACTTTTTCCCTTCCAAGTGCAAAATGTCTCTCAATATTTTCAACACTTAATACAGATTAGAGTTGCAAATTTATACAAAAGAAGAAAATTAACTGTAGCTTGTGATAAAGTATAAAAAATTAAATGTAAATAAAGGTGCATTTTCCAAAGATCTTTTAGATTTAGGTCCTATTGTCAACTAGGTTCTTACATATTTGGATGTTCCTTACAATAGCAGTATTTTATTAGTATTTTTATTAACATATTCCATTAACATTTGTATTAGGATATCATAGTAACAGTCACTGATTCTAAGAAAGGTTCATTGACTTAAGAAGTATCTGAGAAGAACCAAAAGACAGTTACAGAGAAGATGGATAAGCATTACCTATTTCCACAGTGAATTTTTAATACTAAAAATATAACTTCATTTCATATATATGAAACTGTTATTTCATAAATAGTTCTTGCATAAGTCAGTAATTTTAACCTTAGATTCCCCCCTGAGGAAAAGACAAGAAGCACAAAATGCAGAAATAAAAATTCCACACCTAGAAAAAGAGATACATGAATAAAAAGAAAATTTCTACTTAGTGTAGCTGTCAAATATTCAACTTCAAAATTCAGTCGAATGTTTTTTAAAATCTGAAAAACACTGGAACTAATAGATATAAACTGAGTTGTTTTTACTGAATCACAGTCCACCTTTATTCAAATCAATATCTAATGTTGTGCAAGTAAATTTAAAAGAAAGACACTATTCTGAGATTTAAGAATAGATAAATTACATAAACAAACCCATTTTTAAACTGTTGACTTACCTAAATTTTTATAACTAGATTTTTTAGGCTTCATTTTATGGGCCCTCTTCAGCATTAGTTGTGCAGTAGAAATATCTTTAAAACCCCTAGGGGAAGAGAATAACTTACTAAACATTTCACATGTATTATGTTACGCCAGCTGCATATTATTGTACAACGAACTCCTCAGAAAGAATAGAAGTGTGTAGTACTTCCTATGCACGCTATTAAACTTTCCAAATTACACATATAGCTGCAGCTCTTATCTTAACATCACATTATTGTAACTTATTAAGTTGTTCTCCCAGACACTTGTAAAAGTAATTACAGTACTTGTTACTTTGGAAGAATACAAGAGACTCTTGAAAGGTTAAACTTTAAAAAAGCAAGCAACAACAGCCAGCTGTGCTCTACTTATTCCTGGAAGTCACTGTGTAAGCTAAATAGCTCAGCATACCATTCTTCTGAAATTTTCTCTTCTTTTTCAGAAATGAGTGAAATTTTCTTTTTTTCCTTCCAGTCAGAGAGCTGTGGCAATGTTCCCTTCCCTGACCTGAAAAAAACAGTAAAAGAGAGGCACTGAAAGATAGGTAAATATGGAAGGGCCTTGGATGACTATTTTGTAGCATTTGTTATTCTGCAAGTTGTTTGTACGTCTTAAAGGCACTTTTGAAGCTTGGAAATAATACCAGAAAATCTATATTAATACTCCAGGAAGGCTTTATCTTGGAGAGTAATAAAAGTCTGCCATCAATTTGAAATGTTTACATTTCAATTACTTGAAGCATATTTCAGTCCTTTCTCTCCAAAAGAATGTGGCTGTGTAAGAAATCCCCTTTAATCTTTATCTAGTCTTACAAGTCTCTACTTCAACATCTATGTTTTGATATATGTGAAAAAATATGAGGTTTATGATTTATAGTCAAACCTAAATAAATGAAAATATCCATATATATCCTTAACGTTCCTAATTCTGGTAATCAATGAAAAAATAATAACTGAATACAATAGATTTGCTTTTAACAAGTAAATGCAATTTAACTCCAGTAATATCATATTAACCAAAAGCAGAAAAAGCATCAGAAAACAGCCTTAAGTTCACCTTTTGTTTTTTGCCAAATCCAAATGAACTAAACGTAATGATAAAAAAGTATTCTTTAACTTACCTGCTGTGAAAGTGGGTACTTTCTGCTGAGCATGTATATGGTCTCTTAACACACTGCCAAGCTCCTTGTGGCGACAGTGGCAAACTATTTGAATGACCACTGGAATTGGAAGGCCTAGAATACTTCTAAGGAAGAGAAAGAAAAAATGCAGCTGATGATTCCTGGAAGCTTGTTTTTAAAATGGGCAGGTAAATCTGCACCAGGGTTTGCAAAGTCTATTGCTGTAACAGTAAGGATTCTTAATAGTGATATGCTCATTACAAACCTTACCATTAATAAACTAAACAGGGCAAAAAGATGATTTTGATTACACTTAACATTGTCAAACATAATGAATTATACATTTATAAGACTAATTTCTTTTAATAGTAGGAAATAGAAACGTTAGCAATACTGTGCTTGTAACAAGAAGAGAAAATCCTACCAAAACAAAAAGCTAAAACTTCAAAGTTTATCAAATAACCAGCAGACACTACAGTTCAATGACCTTTAGCTGATCTGAAAAAATTCAGCTGTTGTCTTATAATGCAGATCTTAGTATTTTTAAAGCAGTGTGTCAACTAGCAATTTTTAATCCATTGCCAAATGTACAGATGAAGCACATCATCTTTTTTCCTGCTACTGTGAAGTGTTGAAATAAATCCAAAATAAAGAAAAAAAGTAAGCAAATGAAAGAAAATCTAAAAGAAAAATTGCATCTGGAGATGAGGAGGAAGTCTGAGACTTCTAAAAGTAATTGTGTTTTTCAAGTCAATAGATTGTCGTATTAATCACCCCAGAACAGCATATCCTTAAGGAACGAATAAAGACTGAAGAGTAAGAAGTTTCTGTGACATGTTACCTTTGGCCAGTGCAGCTGGTTTGAGAGCAGGAGTGTTTTTGAAGGGAAACGGGTGGAATCTAGAGTTAGCCATTCCTTCTCTAATGCAGCCTGTATGAATAAGTAAAGTCAAACATTGTGCTGATAAAATCAGTTTAGTTTTGATAACTTTTGCAAAGTCTCTTTTAAATTGTCTTACATACTGCTTCAAGTGTTTTCAAGTCATATATCAGAATGCCACCTGCAGAGCAATCACGCTTAAAACACCTTTGGAGATGCTGGGTCATACTATTTTATTTTAAACAAATCAGATTAACAGTATTTATGGGTTGTGGAGTTTTGGTTTTGTTTTCTTTTGTTCTTCTGTAAATAAGATGCATCCCTTCCTTCTCAATTTCTTGTAATTTTATCCCAACATTGTTAGTAAACCCAAGTTATTAAAAAAGACTGCCAAACAGTGAAAAAATATAGGCCTGAGGTACTCAAAGACCTAAAGAACACTAACAGCTTTGTTCGCTGCTTTTAACTAATTTTTAACTATTTTATATCCAGATGTAGGTGCCCGATTTTGTCAAACTTCTTTTGTTGAGCTAGACTGGTGAATAGTTTTTAATTGAAATCTGGGGTGAAAAAAAATGAATACTATATGCATTTAATTCCTTTAATTAATCAATTTCACTTGTTGTATAACGGAATAATTTGCAAACTAAAATAATAGCTTCGGATGAAGAAGGGTGATGGAATTAGGTGCTAACTGGTGTCTCTAGCACTTCAAAGTAGAATTTAGTTTTCTTTCATAAAAACAAAATTTAGATTTTGCTTCAAACGCAACCTGGATATGACTTATTTCTCTTACATGTCCTTGAGTTGTTTGACCACATGTTCTTTCAATATATTCTGATAAGTGAGAGAAGTAAATTACTCCCACACAGTAAGTAAATGCCTCTCAAGAATTTGGCTTCACTTACACAGGGCTCAGTCATTCAGGCTGCTTTTACTTCAGTAGCAGAGCCTGGAGTTCATTCCTTTGAAAACGTCTGATTTATAAATACAGACTACCTTTCTCTAATTCATAGAATAATTCAGACTGCACTGATTTCTGACCCTGAGAAATCATCCAAGCATTGTATACCTTACCGCGTAGTTTGGGTAAACAGGACTTTACACAGGCTTAGGTTAGTGAACAAGAACTTCCAAGCCCTTTGAAAGTTTGAGAGACAAAATGATCGTATTCTACCTAGTCTGAAAAGGTTACTTCAGGTACTGCTTGCATGATTTGGTGACTCTAAGATGATTCTTTTTATTTAGAAAGTAACTGGGAACCAGCATCATTCTTCCGTTCTGACCTAGCTTTTTTTAACATAAAATCTTCAACTTAGCTGGTATATGAAAAGAATCAATACAACTGGGTAGATTTCCACTTCTTGTACAATTTAAACATCAACTTAATTAGTGTGCACAATGATGTGTTCATTAACTACCTGCGTACTGAAATGTCTTACATTAGCAGTGAATGTGATCCAAGCTCTACTGTCAAGATCTTGGGGCAAACCTGCATCCCAGTTCTTTGAATTTTCACCCCTCAGATGAAATTGTTTGAGACAGAAATCAATAAAGTAATGAAACATGAAAACTAACACTCCAGGGCTGTACTCAATTTTTTCAAACAAGAATTATTTAAGCTGTACACTGATTGAATCCTTTTGGTTTACAGTTGTATCATAACCCCATATAACGTTCTTTGCTCTTACTATTTAGATTGAAACTTTTCTCATAAATATTTTCTTAGCCCAGTGTTTGCCATTTATTAATCTAATATTCTCCACAGTGTTTTTATTTCTTTCATAGCCTATAAAATGTCTTTCAGTGTTCTAAGTGTTGAAAAGAAATATCAATGAAAAGATAAAAGCAAGATTCAAAGATACAAATATACAAGACAAAAAAAAAAGGTAAGTGATTTATCATTAAGCACATTTGGAACTCCTATGAACTTGTAGCATATTATGAAAATACATCACACTGTCATTTGCTGTGGCCAACAAAAATAAACACACAATTGATTTTCAAATGTATGCTCTTCCACTATGTTTATCCCTAGGGTTTTTGACAGTACTGAGTTCAAGAAACTTCTGTGCATATTTTTCCAATAAACACAGTCCTAAATTATAATTAATGTTTATTACAGATGTACCAATACCTAAGGATAAATACTAGATCAATTTCTACTGGGATTGTCAACTAAAGAAAAAAAAAAAAAAACAAACACAGCAAAACAAAAACCAAAACCACAAAACCAATCTGAGAGAATTACAGAGAAAATAAAATGACAGCATTTGATTGTACGATCTACGTAAAGTGATATGCATACTACATTTATGTTTGTTTCTAAAGCAAATCTAAGGAATTGATTTCACAGATACTGAGGTCTGTAACATAGCTTTACACATACGTGTAAATCACATACAGTTGATTTAACACACATTACTTCATCTGAAGATATCTTTTATGCCTCTGTATCCTCCATACTTTATTTCCAGTGATTGTCTCAAATCAAAGATTTTATTGATTTCTCTAAATAAGTTTAAGTTTTCACAAGCACACAAAACATACATAGACCTTTCTGATATTTTCTTTTGTTACAAATTCACAGAAATAAGTTACTGTTTGAAACACATTTTTAATGCTTGGCAAAATTTTCCATGGGTTTCTTTCCGGTGTGGGTTTTTTTGTTTGTTTGTTTGTTTTGGGGTTTTTTTTGCAAGAATTTATGTTAGTTTCAATTTAGCTCCTGACCATCAAATTCACTATTAAACACAACACAATCATCCCTGACATAATTCTTCAAAAAGAAGGTGTGAATATACGTGGGGCTGGGATTTTCTTTCTGAATTTTAACAATAAAACTTCCACAGTATTAGCTATTTCCGTGTATCCATTAGGATCAAGAACTTTGTATCCTGATTTACAACTTTTTTCACCCTTTGAGAATCTAATCATACATTTTATTTTCTTACCTTTGATTTTGTAGCTCATCAATGAACCCTGGAGACCTAGGGATTTTTTTTTTTTTCACAGCATATTATATATAACCTTTTTCATTTTGTTATTCCTTCATTTTTCAAATATTTATTCTATTCCTTCCTTTGTAAAATGTAATGACTATTCACCGTTAAATGTCTGTGGTCTCAGAAACAGAATCCATTCCTATAACCACCAAAGTTAGTGAGAATGGTTCTACTATACTGGGGACTGAATGACACCCATGAAAAGCAGAGTCTTAGTGCAAACGTTACTTGTACACTCTAATTCTAGGCATCTTTTGTATGCTCTGGATTAAATTCTGGAGCTACATGATCTTTTATAATGACTATACGTGTATTTTGGACTGTTATGCATCATATTTAAACCACAAACAAAAAGAGCTCACAGGACACAGTGTCAAAACTACATTCAGCTTTGAAGAACTTCTACAAGTAACTGTCCAAACTGTGAATAATGCTATCACATACTACCTTTCATCTCTCTAAGATCAAGGAGGATCACAAGAGTATAATAAAAACCAAACCAATCCCCAAAACTGTACTATGGCTAGAAGCAGAGGATGGAAGAAGGCATTAACATATAGGCTGAAAAGAAAGGTCACCATTTGATACGTTACAACTCTGTTCTGGGTCAGACCAAATATCCATCTACATCAGCAATCTGTTTCCAGAAGAGTTCAGTAGCAAATGCTTATGAAAGGAATAAAAGGAGCTGGACACATTGAGGATACTCCTACCTTTGGCATATTTTTCTAGACCTTGGAAATTGGTGGTTTAAGACTTTCTGCTACTATCTAGGAAAAGCTTCCTCAGCTTAAAACAGTAAGCTAACTTGTTATGCAAATATAACCATCTCACCAGTGTATTTGCAAGTTATCTCTACATCAACAGAAAAAATGCAAATCATTTACAATGCTGAGACCATACAACTGCTGAAGTGGTGTAGGTTGACTCCAAAAGGCAGACGTGTTGGCTGCCATGGGAGCTGAAGCTACCCCAGGTTTCCAAACACGGTGGACCTCAGAATTAGAAGATGAATCATCATCTGACAAATCTGTGAATCTATTCTTGAAAAATAGGGAGAACTCTTTATACCTTTTTCCTTTCTTTTTTCACTTCCCCATTTACTCATTCACTGTTTGAAGAACAGTAGTGGTTTAGCCAGGGATATTGTTTGATTGATAGTTATGTAGTGCTTTTTTTATTTGTATGGCACTCTAAGATACAAATAGGAAAGTTACCCAATGAAATATAAACAAGCATGAGAAAATTAATATCAAAAGCTCACTCTGAACTCAGTCCTGACTGGTTCCTGAGCATTACAGCTGAACAGGCAGAATGGCAGGGGGGAAAAAGTATATTTTATTTTTAAAAATTATATTTCCACATTACCATTTCACAGAAATAGTATATGGCATTCTTTGCTTTTAATAAAAGATTCACCTGCCTGGTTTTGCCTAACCTGTTTTTCTAGACTTCTGCTCCCCAGTGAGGAAGGCCACTAGTGTAATTCTCAGTCAGAATGGCCATTTTTCAACCAGATTTTACAAGTTATCTGCCCTCTCTACATTCAAATTAGTTTTTAATAAGGGTAATATGTATTAAGAGTAGATAAATAAATCTTTCCACTAGTTTTCTCTACAGAATGTAAGTCTAAATAAAATTCTTCAGGGTGATGATGTCCTTGATTTCTACTTTCCTAGTTTTTAGTGATCATATTCAAACAGTGCAGCTAAAGTCTAGTTCACTCCAAGAAAATAAAACAAAAAGACAAGTGAAAGACAGGACTTTAATCCAAGTCAGAACACTAAACAGCCTTCTACGGCTATTTCAAATAAGCTGAAAAAAAATTCTTTTTGGGTAACACATGCCACATGAAGAACTACTTTTCCTAGCATTAGACATCCTGTAGGTTAAATAATTGCTCAGACTGGGAGAGGGAGCAGTCAGGCAGAGGGATCATATGCTGAAGGTTAACCCTGTGGATACTCACAACAGAGCAGGGCATACCACAGCCAGCCATACTGTACTAGCTTTCATCTGGCAGAAAGCTGTAACTCTCTTTCTTGG